TTATTTATTTGTTTTGTTTGTTTCTTCGTTTGTTTTTGTTTTATTTGTTTGTTTCGTTTGTTATATTTGCTTTATTTGTTTGTTTTGTTTGGTATGATTGGTTTTGTTTGGTAGGCTTGATACGGTCTGTTTCTTGTATCTTGATGCGTGGTGGGCTATGAATGCGGCCCAACAGTGGGTTGATCTCTGCGTTGACTTTTGACTTGTGGGCCAGGCACGGGCCGCGGCACTAGGCCAGAGGGCACCGCTCAATTCCTTTTGTTGGATTTGTTTTTGGGTGGGGCGAACAAGAAATGGGGTATATTGGCTCTATCTACCGGCGTAATATACTGCAGTGAATGCCGGCTCGGGCTTTAGAAGACGGCTCGATGGACTGCTGTGATGAACAATACTGACTTAGTGGGCATAGTATGCTGAATAACTGCTGGCTCAATATACTAGTCCATATACTAGTCCATATACTAGTCCATCTACCAGTCGATATACTAGTCCATATACTAGTCTATATACTAGTCCATATACCAGTCCATACACTAGTCCATATACCAGTCCATCTACTAGCCCATCTACTAGCCCATCTACGAGTCCATCTACTAGTTTATATACTAGCCCATCTACGAGTCCATCTACTAGTCCATATACCAGTCCATCTACTAGTCTATATACTAGTCTATATACTAGTCCATCTACCAGTCGATGTACTAGTCCATCTACTAGTCTATATACTAGTCTATATACTAGTCCATCTACCAGTCGATGTACTAGTCCATCTACTAGTCCATCTACTAGTCCATCTACCAGTCCATCTACTAGTCTATATACTGGTCCATATACTGGTCCATATACTAGTCCATCTACCAGTCCATATACTAGTTCATATACTAGTCCATACACTAGTCCATACACTGACTTCATATACCGACTTAATATACTGACTTCGTATAATGTCATATTACACTGACTTAGTTGTGACTCAATGTACTGACCCGGTATGCTGACTTCGTATAGTGTCATATTATACCAAATTAATTGTGACTCAATACATTGACTCAATGCCCTACTCGATATACCGACTTAGTATGCTGGCTTCGTATAATAATATATCATACTGACTTAATCGTTGACTCAGTCTACTGACTCAATATACTGACTCCATACACCGACCTTAGATGCCAGCTTCATATAATGACATATTATACTGGGTTAGTTGTTGACTCAATCCACTGACTCAATCCACTGAAGCCATTTGCTAACTTAGTATGATGCAATTCACCTACCCAACATACTGGCGTGATTTACTGAACTAATAATCTGGCACAAAACGCACCCATAGACTTATTTTTTACCAGCTCACTACAATGGCCCAAGACACCGATCCAACACAGCTGTGGAAAACTAAAACCGGAGCCAATACACCGACTTAAAACACACAATACTTCCGTTCAGCAGGTTAAAGTCAGACTATCCTTGCGTCATATACTACCCTTGCTGGTTTTTTGAACATGATTTGTCCGCACCCAGAGACCTGACGGGGGCTACGCAAATCAGAAAACAAACACACCGCGGCACAGCTCAACTATAATTTGTAATTTCCAACATTCAAATTATCACAGATACAAGGCGACTCTAAAACTTCGTTTAGAGTCTCGGGGTAGCTGGTTACTCCGGAATAAATTTCGCACGAATATTATCATTGTACTTTGCAGAAAAAGCCCGAAAGCTTCAAATCATTGGTATACCTAGTTTTGAGATGATATGAGCTTTCACACTATTATTTTTCAAGCACACCACAACCATTCTTACCTCAACAAGCATGTACTTGATCCCCGATCTTGCTGTTTATTTGTGTGAGATTTTCCTCACTTGTGGCCAATCCAAAATGTGAAATGAGCCATTGATAGTGCTTCGAGTATACATGAACAGATCAACATAAACCCCGATGCTTCAAATCATCGTTTTCGAGAATTTGTTTTGGTGATAAGTCGGACAGCCTTCTTTCCGGCTCAAGAAATGCCCCAAATCTTGTTTAGCTAGAGCAATGAAAAGAGATATTTTATAATTTTTTTGTCAGATTCATCTGGTTGAGGAAGCAAAACTCTACACCTAATAAATATAGAAACTTTTAAACAGTTCCCAGCTACGTACCAAGTGTTGAAACTAGGCCCGCCTCCTTGCGTTATTCACGGCTTGAACGGTCATCTTGGCCGGTATGTGTTTACGTTTTGGATATTACGTCACCGACTTCTACGATAAGTCTCCTGTAGTAGTCGCTTCAAATCTAATGGTTGTTGCAGACTTAAGAAGCCAACTTCCTGCGACTCACCACAAATAGGTTTAGTACAAAATTGAACCAAAAAATTCACCAGTGCTCACGGGAATAGTAATTTAAGTTAGCACACGAATTTATGTAATATGCTCAACTTTACTTTTGGTTGCGGTCATACCATGCAGGAAGCACTGTTTCCCGTCCGATCAACGTTAGTTAAGCTGCATAGGGCCACACTGAGTAGTGTAGTGGGAGACCATATGCGAAATTGTGGTGCTGCAATCTTTTTGCAATTGATAATCAGCTATCTGAAGAGCTTCGGGAAGACTGAGTGCGTCACCGGCGATGTACAGGAAGAAAGGAAGAAGCATGACACGCTTGGAGCCAACCGCATCCAGTAAGAAACTGCACCCAAAGAAGAAATCCTCAGCTGGAAGAGCAAAGCACACCCGTAAACTGATTTTTCAAGAAGGCTATCTAGGCCAAGTATGTATTTGGGATCTGTTTGAAGGCTTTTGATATGTTATTTCATACTTTCAATTATATGAATGTAGCAGAATAGAATAAAAATGTGTTCCTGCAATCAGATGAATATGCCGACACAGCTTCTTGTTTGCCAGTCGCACGCGCGGCACCGAGATGTCTCGAATACCGAGGCAACATCACCAGAAAACAGGCGAATAACCAGAAAATGGGCGAATCACCAAAAACTGGCAGATCACGTGTGCAGTATGACCAATGGTCACAAGGCGCACCGGTTCCATGCATGCCCGGTCAGCTGACCGCCCGCCAGCAGCAAGTCCAGGCCCGATTCAAAAATCTGATATTCGAAAAGCTTGTTTCGTTTCTTTTCCTCGCCCTCTGCCATTTCCGCGTGCCCAAGATTTCGGCACGTTCGATGCTCCGGTTTCCTCGCACGTCGAAAAATTGCGCAGTCACATGGCACTTCGCCTTGCAAACGCAAAAAAAGAAATCCTGCTAGACTAGGCTCTTTCACCGAGCGCCTGCAAACATGCCTCGTGGCAGCTTGGACCACTGGGCAGCAGTCCGGGGTCACCCGACTTACCCCGGAAAGGAGGAGCACGGCCATAGCAGTGCCCCAGTCCTGCATACAGAGACCGCGGGGTCATGTGGCCTGACCCCACCGCGACTGCGATTCGCACCCATCTTCTCCACACTATATCGTGATTTGATATTGGTCCCCCAGCATCCATAGGGGTGTAAGAGGCTTAGCTGTCAGATCCTGCTCTGGGCATGATTAGCCCTGGACTTTCGAGCCGCGCGCCGCCTGGCCCGAGGCAGTGGAAAAAACTGGCAGCTGCAGGCTCCAGCCGTCCCCGCCTTTTCTGGCCCTCCAGCACGTGACGTGGGGGTATATCTAATATTCAGTCTGGGGAGCGTCCAGCACACCCCACCATCATTTCTCTTTTCCTTTGCACATTTAGATTTGACTGTTTGCCCACGACACGTAAGTCCTGGTCTCCACATCTGCAGCAGCAAGCCCAATACTGCATCCAAGAAGAAAAGCAAGGGATCTCTGGAGAAGCTTAAAGGGCACAAAGAAGCAAGCAGCACAAGCCAAGAAACACGCCCCCTTCGAAGCATAAACAAGGCCAAATAGAAGCGACTTGAGCCGTTTGAAAACCCAATAATTCAGGAAGATCCGGAAAGTTCGGCCCGAAGAAACTTGCAAGATACCTCGATATATCTGATCGAGTTGAGACTGAAGTGAATCTCGGAAAGATATCACAAGCCTTGATCGAAGAGACTCAAGAGCGAACAGATCCACGAGGTTTGGATTCAAGAAGCCCAAGAGCGGATAGATTCAAGAGGTTGAGCCAGGGACGAGAAAAGCCCTGCAAATCTCACAGAACAGCGCCAAGTATTGGAAAGAAGGATTTCACAGCTTGCAAGGCTCACACCAGACGTCTTCAGGTTAAGGAGGCCCAGAGTCTGAACATTAGTGTCTGAACTGCAAGGTCTTTGAGCTCCAAACTCTTCAAACTCCAGAGTCTTACTCTAGAGCCTTTATACTCCAGAGCATTTGAAGTCCAGAGTCTTATCCTAGAGTCTTACTCTAGAGCCTTTATACTCCAGAATCTTTGAACTCCAGAGTATTTAAACTCCGGGGTATTCAAGCCCAGAGTATTCAAGCCCAGAGTATTTAAGCTCCAGAGTATTCAAACTCCCGAGTCTTACAACTCCCGAGTCTTACAACTCCCGAGTCTTACAACTCCCGAGTCTTACAACTCCCGAGTCTTACAACTCCCGAGTCTT